ACACTGGGTCATGCAGCTCGTTAAGTCAGGCTGTGGTTGTTGTGTTGGCTACAGCTTCCACAGCTTAAACACTGTGTCATGCAGCTCGTTAACTCAGGCTGTGGTTGTTGTGTTGGTGACAGCTTCTACACCATAAACACTGGGTCATGCAGCTCGTTAACTCAGGCTGTGGTTGTTGTGTTGGCGACGGCTTCTACACCTTAAACACTGGGTCATGCAGCTCGTTAACTCAGGCTGTGGTTGTTGTGTTGGTGACAGCTTCTACACCTTAAACACTGGGTCATGCAGCTCGTTAACTCAGGCTGTGGTTGTTGTGTTGGCGACAGCTTCTACACCTTAAACACTGGGTCATGCAGCTCGTTAACTCAGGCTGTGGTTGTTGTGTTGGTGACAGCTTCTACACCTTAAACACTGTGTCATGCAGCTCGTTAACTTAGGCTGTGGTTGTTGTGTTGGCAACAGCTTCTACACCTTAAACACTGGGTCATACAGCTCGTTAACTCAGGCTGTGGTTGTTGTGTTGGCGACAGCTTCTACACCTTAAAACAATCATGCAGCCTCGTTAACTCAGGCCAGGTTGTTAGCAGGATACAGCTTCTACACCCATAAACAACACTGGTCATGCAGTCGTTAACTCAGGCTGTGGTTGTTGTGTTATGACAGCTTACACCTTGTTAAAACACTGGTCAAAGTGCAGCTCGTTAACTCAGTTGTGGTTATAGTTAAGGACAGCTTTACAATCTTTAAAAAATTCACGAGGGCATTTTTTATTATCACCAAGAATCTATTAGTCGGAGTTTAATGCATCAACAACAAATAACAACAACAATAATAATAATAATAATAACAACCCGACCAGACCGACCACTGTTAACTATCACTTTCACTGCTGCCTCACCGCCCAGTCAGACTACATTCTATGTCTGTCACCCTTACAGTACATTACAGTCCCAACTGTACCACTGACTGTATCGTGAGGTATTGTAACTCTCAACACTGACTGTATCGTGAAGTATTGTAACTCTCAACACTGACTGTATCGTGGAGTATTGTAACTCTCAACACTGACTGTATCGTGAGGTATTGTAACTCTCAACACTGACTGTATCGTGAGGTATTGTAACTCTCAACACTGACTGTATCGTGAGGTATTGTAACCAGGTACACAATTCTTCAGGTAATTATTTATTTACTTCGTTATTGTCCTGTATTTAACCCCCCCCCCCACCTCTACTACTACTACTACTACTACTACTACTACTACTACTACTACTACTATTCTGTCATTCGGTATTCCAGAACGACGATCATCCAGCTATGATACAATGATACGAGTTATTAAAGACGTCACCTTAAAAAATATCTATTGTCTAAGTAATAATATTTCTTGTACTAACTGCTGTATATACCTGCTGTTAGTGTACCACCACAACCATTATATCAGAAATTGTCCTGTACAGAGATAGAAATTACCATTGAAATAATTATAGTTGCTGACTAGATATGATACTGACAGCTGTGTCCTCTTGTTCCACCTTAATACACCCCTTGTACTGCTTCCCTCCCTTATTATATTAATGTATATCAATTCCACTGTAAAATATGTATATACTTATAATATAAATGTAATAAAATAAATAAATAATGAAGTGATAACCATGGTAACATGTTGTTATTACCACCATACTATTGTACTATTGATACTAAATGTTACATAATACTTCCTTGAGATAAATGTATAGTATATATCAGGTGCAGCTCAGGGTCTCAACTGGCTCAGTCATGTTAATATTGTTATTATTATTCACTCTGTATCTGTGTTTTACTGGCTAAATAAACTGTTTCAATATCAATACCTTCGTTGGTGAGTTCTGAGGTGACTGCAGAGGCCGATACGGGACCGGCAGGGTCGTCCACAGATGTGGTACGTGTTGGGGGCTGCATCAAGTGAAGGAGGGGTGGCGGCAGCGTCTTTCCGGCCTTGGCGCTTGTCTGCCTCGTTATGCAGTCGGGCTGACTCGAAAGTATTGACACCTTCTCGTGTGGTGCTCCTCCAAGCGTTACGGTGTGGAGTAATCGTCTCCCAGGTGAGGGGGTCGATTAGGCACTTTTTCTGGTTTGTCTTAAGACTATCCTTATACCTCTTCAGTTGCCCGCCAGCGTTACGTTTGCTATTCGTTAGGTGACTGTAAAGTAGCTACTTTAGCAGTCTACTGTCGTCCATGAGGGTAACATGGCCAGTCCAGCGTAGTTGTTCATGGATAATGGTAGCCTCGATGCTCCTACAGTTGGTGTCAGCAAGAATACTGGCATTTGTTCTCTTGTCTTCCCAGCGAACTCGGAGGATGGAACGTAGACTACGTTGGTGAGAGTTATCAAGTGCCTTGAGGTGCCTCCTGTATGTGACCCATGTCTCACTGCCATACAGCAGGGTGGGGAGGACCACTGCTTGATATACGTGTAACTTTGTAGATAATTTCAGCTCCCTACAGCTGAAGACACGGGTATAGAGTCTGCCAAAGGCTTGAGATGAACATCTGATCCTATGTTGAATCTCTTCATCGATGTCCGCGGTGGTGGACAGGTGGGAGCCGAGATACTGAAAGTGGGTAACACTAGAGAGGGTAGTACCGTTAAGCTGGATGGATGGTGGAGGTGTGGCTGAACCAGGGGCAGGCTGAGAGAGAATATGGGTCTTACGTACATTCACCTCAAGGCCGAAGTGTGTATACGCATCTGAGCAGGTGTTCAGGATCTCCTGTAGGTCGTGTTCAGTGTGAGAGACAAGGGTGAGGTCGTCTGCATACTGAAGTTCAGTAATGGAAGCTGCCGACACATTTGTTCCTGCCTGGAGTCGTCTTATGTTGAAAAGACCCTTCACCCGGTACTAGATGTCCACCCCACCAGCTAAATTGGCACTGGCACGAGTAAGGAAGGCAGCCAAGAAGATGGAAAAGAGAATTGGTGCCAGTACACACCCTTGTTTGACCCCCGTTTGCAGGACACTGCCGTTCTTACAATCGTGGAGTTGCCTCACGATAGCGATGAATTCTGGTGGGTAGACAAAACGGCTGAGGGTCCACCAGAGAGCTTCCCTGTTGACCGAGTCGAAGGCCTTGGTTAGGTTGATGAAGGCCATGTACAGGTCACGACACTATTCTCTGCACTTTTCCTGTATGTGGTGGGCAGCAAAGATCATGTCAGTGGTGCCATGTGATGGTCTAAAGCTACACTGAGATTCTGGGAGGAAGATTTTCGCCTCAGGAAGAAGTTTGTTTAGGAGGACTCGGGCGATAATCTTGCCATCTACGGACAGCAGTGAGATCCCGCAGTAGTTGCCACAGTCTGACCGGTCTCCCTTGTTCTAATAAATATTGACGATGGAGGCGTCTTTAAGAGCTTGGGGGATTTCCTCCTTTTCCCATATATTCTCCAGGAGAGAGTGGAGACGGCTGGTAAGCAGAGGTCCTCCTGCTTTATACACCTCGGCTGGGATTCCATCAGGCCCTGAGGCTTTGTTATCTTTCATCTGTTTGATGGCAGTAGGGACCTGCTGGGTAGTCAGGACATCGGTGTTTCGGTTGAGCAGTAAAAGGTAGTGCTCCTTCCAGAGCTGAAGGAGGTTTTCTTTGTCTTTAATTAGAGAGTTACCATCGGATGAGTGGAGGGGGGCTGTGCCATGAGTTATTGGCCCATAAAGTGTTTTAGTGAAATTGGAAAATTCGCACATCTTGTGCTTATCTGCATGTTTTTGCATCTCAATTATTTATTTTTAAACCAGTCGTTCTTTAGATTGTGAGGCTCCCACTGGGCTGCCGCTTTCTTCTTGCAGAATGCATCAGCTATAGCTCGAGACTGAGGGTTGTTCTGCCAGTCAGTTAAAGCAGCACGGTTAACATCGATAAGTACATTGATTTCCGGGTCATTGTCATCAAACCAGACCTGGTGTATTCTTTCGATCTGGCCGAGGGTCTCTGCAGGTTTTGTCATGACAGTGTCGAGAATATACCATTTGGTACTGGGATTTGGGTTGTTTGATGTCGGGTTGTTTATCAGCCCGTGTTCGAGCTGCTCTCTGAAAGCATGTGCTACCACTGGATCCTCCAGACACTTGGTATTAAAACTTCTTCTGGAGGCTTGCTGCCTTTGCCGTTTTGGGGCGACGTGAAATTAAAGTTTGACTTGAGGAGCCAATGATCAGTGTAGCAGTGGTCTGAGCCATGCATGGCTCGGGTGATGAGGACATCTCGGCGATCTCTTTCTCTGACAATGATGTAGTCAATGAGATGCCAGTGTTTGGATCGTGGGTGTTTCCACGAACCATTGAACTTGTCGGCCTGCCTAAACAAGGTATTGGTGATAGTGAGGTTGTGTGCAGCACACTTGGTGAGGAGGAGTAGGCCGTTGGGATTACACTTGCCTAGTCCATTTCTTCTTATGGTTCCCTGCCAAATGTCAGCATCTCTGCCAACTCAGGCATTGAAGACATCAAGGAGCACAACCTTATCTGCTCTAGGGACAGAGGTTAGCACTCTGTCGAGGTAGGCGTACATGCCTCCTTGATGTCATCCTCTGCATCCAGTGTTGGGGCGTATGCACTGATGAAGACGTGAGTCTGGGAGCCGGGACTCACTAACGGCTCTAAGGCTATATTATACCTACCCAACTCTTTTGCCACAAGAGCAGTTCTTCTTTCAGGACACTCATTTGCGCCAGTATCCAGAAGGGTCCTGACAATCCATGCAGTGACCATAAGAGGTTGTATAGATTTTTTTTGTTTGGATCTGTGATTATGATAGCGTTTTCGAACCGCATAAGGATGGCCTGACTGGGTGCAGTTGCCCAGTCAGGTTGGTTCTTTAGGCAGGCTATGTTTAAGGCACCTTTTCTGGACACCCCCCATGTGGGGTGAGCAGAATGACTCCCCAAAAGGGCTGCTCAGTCGCACAGACAAGACAGGATTGCACACACACACACACACACACACACCCCCTACTCACCGTCTAAGTATATTTCACTCTCCAGCTGTTTATCCATCCAGAAGAGAGCAGCAATAGGTCCTGAAATAACATGATGATTATCAGTATTTGATCTTTGGTCGGACGTGTCTGTCTGTCTGTCTGTGTGAACTTGTGCTGTCGTCACCTAACCTAACCTAACTAAACTTAACCTGACTTTATCAGACTTAACCTATCATAACTTAACCTCATCATAACTTAACCTACCATAGCTAACCTTACCATAGCTAACCTACCATAGCTTAACCTACCATAACTTAACCACTATAATAACCTACCTGGGGGAGGGGTCCTGGGGGAGGGGTCCTGGGGAGGGGGTCCTGGGGAGAGGGTCCTGGGGGAGAGGGTCCTGGGGAGAGGGTCCTGGGGGAGGGGATCCCGGGGAGGGGGTCCTGGGGAGGGGTCCTGGGGAGGGGGTCCTGGGGGAGGGGGTCCTGGGGGGAGGGGGTCCTGGGGAGGCCCTGGGGAGGGGGTCCTGGGGAGGGGGTCCTGGGGGGGGGTCCTGGGGGAGGGGGTCCTGGGAGGGGTCCTGGGGAGGGGTCCTGGGGAGGGGTCCTGGGGGAGGGGGTCCTGGGGAGGGGGTCCTGGGGAGGGGTCCTGGGGGAGGGGGGTCCTGGGGGAGTCTGCCCGACCTCCCGTTTCATCACCAAATAGTTTTTCTTTAATACAGTATTGTACTCAGGCGTTTTTATATAGTAAAAAGTAATAAGTATTGACCTCAGAATACCTCCTAATATAACATGGCCTCAAAATGACCAGGATATTGGTTATATTTCAAACCTAACCTAACCCAACCTAACCTAACCTAACCTACCCAGTCCCCCCCCACCCATAACGTCTTGGACCCTTTCTATAATCCTGGATCCGCCCCTGTTATGGCACTGAATGTTACACAGTATTTCAATTACATTATTTGTTTAGTTCTATACATAAAGGGTAACTTATTCACAACTGTGTGAGTACAGGAGTGTGAGGCAGTATGTCTGGCCGCAGGAGTGTGAGGCAGTATGTCTGGCCGCAGGAGTGTGAGGCAGTATGTCTGGCCGCAGGAGTGTGAGGCAGTATGTCTGGCCGCAGGAGTGTGAGGCAGCATGTCTGGCCGCAGTGAGTGAGGCAGTATGTCTGGGCCACAGGAGTGTGAGGCAGTATGTCTGGCCGCAGGAGTGTGAGGCAGTATGTCTGGCCGCAGGAGTGTGAGGCAGTATGTCTGGCCGCAGGAGTGTGAGGCAGTATGTCTGGCCGCAGGAGTGTGAGGCAGTATGTCTGGCCACACTGTTATTCACATTTACGTGAGAGGTATTCAAGCACATTGTGTGTCTGGTTCTATACATGGGAACTGATATAGTTACTATGTGGATACAAATCTTAATATGTCAGCTATCTTGCCATTACAGATGAAGTACCGTGCCATTGTACACACTATGGAGCACAAGGTGTGGTGGTAGGAGACCTATGGAACAGTCTACCAACACAAGCTGGTACCTACCTCCCTCATACCGGTCACGTCATAGTAACATCACAAAATTACTCTAGTTTACCCACACAAATAAATCATAAAAGAAAATGGTAAAAAATGACCCGTTTTCTTCAATGGTTAAAATATCGCGGTAACTCAAGTAAGTTGTGTTTCTCGGTCAAGACAATAGTGTGAGAACATGTGGTATCTAGTTAAGGTAGTCTCAGTGTAATGTTGTCTCCTAACTGGTGTGTTAAGTGAAGGTATCTAGTTAAGGTAGAGTCTCAGTGTAATGTTGTCTCCTAACTGGTGTGTTAAGTGAAGGTATCTAGTTAAGGTAGAGTCTCAGTGTAATGTTGTCTCCTAACTGGTGTGTTAAGTAAAGGTATCTAGTTAAGGTAGAGTCTCAGTGTAATGTCTCCTAACTGGTGTGTTAAGTAAAGGTATCTAGTTAAGGTAGAGTCTCAGTGTAATGTCTCCTAACTGGTGTGTTAAGTGAAGGTATCTAGTTAAGGTAGAGTCTCAGTGTAATGATGTCTCCTAACTGGTGTGTTAAGTGAAGGTATCTAGTTAAGGTAGAGTCTCAGTGTAATGATGTCTCCTAACTGGTGTGTTAAGTGAAGGTATCTAGTTAAGGTAGAGTCTCAGTGTAATGTTGTCTCTAACTTCTGGTGTGCTAAGTGAACGTATCTAGTTAAGGTAGAGTCTCAGTGTAATGTTGTCTCCTAACTGGTGTTAAGTGAAGGTGTCTAGTTAAGGTAGAGTCTCAGTGTAATGTTGTCTCCTAACTGGTGCTAAGTGAACGTATCTAGTTAAGGTACAGTCTCAGTGTAATGTTGTCTCCTAACTGGTACTTAAGTGAACGTATCTAGTTAAGGTAGAGTCTCAGTGTAACGTTGTCTCCTAACTGGTGTTAAGTGAACGTATCTAGTTAAGGTAGAGTCTCAGAGTAATGTTGTCTCCTAACTGGTGCTAAGTGAACGTATCTAGTTAAGGTACAGTCTCAGTGTAATGTTGTCTCCTAAC